GGTGGAGGAGGAGATGATGGAGGTGGAGGAGGAGATGGTGGAGGAGGAGGAGGTGTTGGTGGAAGAGGTGGAGGAGGAGATAGTGGAGGAGCTTCAGGAGGTAGTGGAAGAGATGCAGGTGGAGGAGGAGATGATGGAGGTGGAAGAGGAGAAGGTGTTGGTGGAGAAGGTGGTGGAGGTAAAAGAGGTGAAGGAGGGGAGAAGGAGATGGTGGGGGTGGAGGAGGAGATGGTGGTGGAGGAGATGGAGCAGGAGATGGTGGAGGAGCTTGAGGAGGTAGTGGAAGAGATGCAGGTGGAGGAGGAGATGGTGGAGGAGTAGGAGTTGGGAAGGGGAAGAAGAAGAACTAGGAAGGAGGGTCATAAAGAAGAGAAATAAAGAGAGAAGCAAGAGAAGAGAGGGAGCCCGGCGTGGGCAAGGGGTCATTTCTGAGTACACTCATGGGGGCCCCTTGGGAGGGAGAGTTGGATTCGTGGGTAAATCAGAGCTTGACGTGGTCGGTCGGTGGGCTGGTTGGGTATCAGAGACCTTTCCTGGGGCTTGTGACCTGAGAGGAGGGGACACATCATCCCATTTTTATCACTGCCTGAGTGACCCTTATGATGTAGGGTCAGGAGGAGAGGAGGGTCACACAAAGACTCAAAGCACTAAGGCTCGGAGGAGGAGCTAGTCATGAATGAGACGGTTTGTTGCAGGAGAAGATGAGAAACGTGATCAATCACCTGGGCTAACACTCCTACCCTCCCGGGTGCTGCCGTCTTACCACGTCCATCAACCAGGTTATGATTTGGACCCGGAACTGTCCCTCCAAGGCTCCTGTGTTGCAGTCTTGCTCCGCGTGCAGGGGTGAGGCTCATCGGAGGTGATGGGATCCTGAGGGGCCTCACCTCATCAGTGGACGGATCCATCCATGGCTGGATGGACCAGGGGGAGATGGGACCTTCGCTGGAACTGTGTGCCCTTGGAGCAGGACTTGTGGGAACAGTCTCGTCCTCTGTGTCCATGAGGTGAGAAGTTGCCTCCGAACACCCTCCTACTATACTCTGCAGCAACAGGACCTAAGCTGTGGACTGTGAGCCCAGGTAAACCTTTTGTCTCTATAAGTTGATTATCTCAGGTATGCGTAACACAGCCACAGGAAGCAATAGATTGGGGAAGCCAGACACAGAGATACACAGCACGCGCTCCTACGGGATTGGCTCGTGCCCGAGTTAAAAAGGAAAAGAAATCTGATTGAGAACACAGGACTCATTCGTAGTGGTCTGTCCTTATTTTGCAATCGCTAGAAATGAGTAGAAATATAAAAATGCGTGATCTAGGGAGGCTTAAACGTAGACGTAGTCCTTGGGGGGAAAAAAACAATCTCCGCCGCGTGCTGATGATAAATGTCTTCGGGAGTCACCCTTACACGAGACCTGAAAGTTCTGAGCATGCAGTTTAGTAAATTTGAGAAGAAATCGGAACAGAAATAACCTTGAACGTATGATCTCTGCCTCATATTTACCCGTTTACCCATCTTCTCTGTCGACCCCATGCAGCCGACATGACCAGGGCGTATGACATTCTCAGTTTATCAGAAAATATTTAAATGGTTCTGTTCCCACCTTGGATTTCGCAAGGAGATGAAGATATATCGGATAATTAATAATAACACGGATCGAATAAGAGAAATAAACCGGAGTCTCCGCGTATTTGCTCTCTTAAGGTTGAGCAAATTTCATTCTATCTTATTTTATACCCCAAAGTGGCTAAATAAACCTTTTTTTTTTTTCTTTTTCCCTTTCAATGATCCAAAGCAAACGTGGAACCGGTCGAGGTTGAATGATCATGAATTTCAAATGAGTGTCAATCACTTAAATGAGGTTTTTCGCAAACTCTTTTAACGGACGTCCTTTTTTTTATATGTGCAAATAGGGACTCAGAAGGGAGGTAGAAATGGTCTTCTCTGTTCCCACGAGTTTTGTAACGAGAGCATTCTGTAAAGCTATTTAAACCTTTAGGGAAATAGGTTAAAATGTATATTTTCCAATAGGGAGGCTGTGGAATCCCCTGATTCCTCTACGGGCATCGGAGAAATGGGTAAAATGGTCCCCGTCGGGGCAGGAATCCTATCTTGGAGATATCAATCGATGGGTGATAGACACAAACGTACTTATAGATTGATACGTGATTAGGTAGAATCGATGGGGGGATTGGAATATTATACACCTGTGGCAGATGAACAGTCAGTGGACAGATGGATGGATGGATGGACGAACGGACAGAAGAGATACACAGAAATTGGTAGATGAATGATTGGCAGATACAGAAATCCATAGGCAGATGGATGATTCCCTATAGAGACGGGAATGATGGCTCTAAACCCATCGACGGAGATCTACGGGGAAAAATCTGTGATCTTCTCTCATCGTCTCCTCTTACGGGATATTTCAGGAAATGTATATTTAAAAAAAGAAAGTTTAGCAAAATAGGCTCAGCTTCAATAGATGTGCCTTGTGGGTTAAATCTCTCTTTTCCTAATGAGCCACATCAGCTCAGCTGGGAGGGACGGTTCCCCTCTGGTCAGAGGAACACGTCCTTATCCAGTTTAGGTCAAATACCTGTGGCCAGCGTGCGTTCTGTACGGGACAGTAGAAAGTCCACATGATCTTCTTCTTTCCCTGCAACTGCACAAAAATGACTATGAAGTTTCTGGGGTTCCTTCCTCCAATCGCA